TTTTTTTTTAATAAATCTTTGTTTGATTTAACTTTGTTTTTTAAATAAGTTGTGACATTAAATAGTGTTGTTGATGTTACGTGTTTGGTGTGATTTACGTGACATCCAACTTTATGTGCGTTTTTTTTCAGAATTTGGCAAATTATTTTTTGCTTTATTTATATAAATAATTTATATTTATAGTAAAATTATTGTCTTCGAGTTAGACCACCGCCGGTCGTGGTCAATTAATTTACTTGAAGAAAATTTAAAATAAATAAATTCTACATCATTAAAGTACTTGCATAATTAGACATAGAAAATCAATTAGGGTAATTAATTTAACAAACAAATTTATATTTTGACCCTTTTTTGCCTATATTAAGATAATTAATTTAAATTTTGATTTTATTCAACCTCGACCATCCTCATGTTTAACATGATCGTTTTGGATGAAAAAAATAATGTTACATATGATATAAAATTTAAGAATTTTATAATTATAATGAAAGGTTTTTTTAAAGAAAAAATAAATAAATTTTGTTGTGTAAACAGCTCAAAAATTCTTTTCTTAGTTCATGAAAAATGTCCAATTTTGGTTTTTCTCATAAAAGAAGAGGTGAGAAATATGAATAAATAAATAAATAAAGGCCAGGTGTCCTTTTCCCAAAATTTATTTATCTGAAACTGACTGCACCTTAGCCTTTCACGACACGGCAAAAACGAGAAAGAGACCAAGGATATTTTTGTAAATTCACCCTAAAAGGGTGTGGCGCAAGTAGGAACACCTCCCATCATTTCGATCAAGAACCAATAATTGCAAAAGCCAAAGGGCAAAGAGACAATAATAATAATAAAATACATTTTATTACAATAAATTAAATGAGAATAGAAAGTTTGACTAACTAATGGAATTTAATATTTGAGAGAAGACTTTCCATGAATGGACAAGAAGCGTCCACGTCTCCCTAGGTGTAAAAACCTCGTACAGCCTTGCCGACAAGATACCCATCCAAAAAGTAAACCCTAATTGTACTTTCTTTTTAAAAAATACTAACATAATTAATTTATAAATATTCATTTATTGTAATTCCTATTAATAATAATAACATAGTGGGTGCCATTTTAGACTTTTTCTAGTGATTTAATTTCGAAAATTAATTTATTAGTCCTGATTACAAAGTAGTTTTAATAATGTTATCTCGTTTCATTACGAGAAAATTTAAATCTTAATTATCATAGTTGATATTAATTTAATATATTTTTAAATATATAAAAATGAATTTAAAATCAAGTAATTAAGCTATATATATTTATCATGTAATTAAGAAGTTAGAAATGTGAAAGTACGATTTGGAAATAATGGCGCGTGTTGAAATCCTGGAATCACGGAACCAAAAAGACAACACGAGGTTTCCTTAAAGGGGACCACCTGGTAGAGGGCAGTGTCTTAAGTACGTACGATTGGCTGCGTCTGATGGACGCGTGGCACAAGAGAGTGGGGTTTTGTAACTTAATCTCCAAGTATCTGATTGGTGTCAAGGAAACTTTATTTTTCCAGGTTTTTGCACTTTGATTCTTGCCCTCTTTTGACGACACTTTGCATAAAGAAAGGTACCGCAAAACTTCATGAGTAGTTGAAAAAAGTTACCAATTGAAAGGTTTGAATCCCGATTAAGAGTAGCATTTGATTGGCTCGATTTAAAAATTTAAAAATTTAAAAATTAAATTAATTTGATTTTTATAAAAAATGAAACATATTGAACTTTAATAAAAATAAAAAATAATTGAAACCGATTGGTGCAGTGAGTTATTTTGATTTTAATAAATTATTTTAAAGTATATTTTATAATAAAATTATATTAAATATAATATATTTAAATTGTACATTATTAATTGTCATTGTTTATCAAACACAAATTTAAATTTTGAATGTTAAAAATTTCTCAAAATGATTGAATAATAAGAATTTAATCTCTCCTAATCAGTTAATACTACAATAAAAAAAACTCAAATTAACCGAATTTAATCGATTTCGATAGTTATTTTAATTTGAATAGATTAATACTCATCTCTACTAAGAATTTATCAAAAATTCAACGTTCTTGAATAATTAAGAAAAAAATACAAATAATATTGATGATATTTCGTGATCTTTGGATCTTAAGATGTAAAGATTTGCTTAAAATTCCCATTTTATAGATCTAATTTTATAAATACCATGAAATTTTCAAATAAATAAACAAATATGTATTATGAATAAAGATCATATTTATTGCAATGCAACCAAAACCATGCATGAACTATACAAATCACAAGTCATTGATGAGTTGGGCATATTTTACATGCACCATCTGAATAATCTTGATAAATGTAAGTGTTCTTCAACTATGTTTGGCATGAACTCTAGGGTAGTGTTCATTTCAGTTGCAAATGAATTTCATGTTTATAATATTTTAATAAAGGAGTTTTATATTTAATGAATTGTCGGTATATATACACGGTCACTGAAATATAGGACCAATACTAAATGATTTCCAACAGTGGAAGACATTTATTTTGGGAATTGATTTTACTCCTTCATAAATACATCTATACCACTACACCTAACCACACCCTATACTATAAAAGCCGTGCCTTCTAGGAAGGAATGAACGAACATGGAACGTTGATCGTATCAATCCTCAACGACATCACCCACATTGACCAAATGAACGGTGGTGGATCAACCAAAAACAAGAACACGTGGCAGGTGGGAATTG